GCAATATAATTTTTACAATTTGCACATTGTATTTGCACTTGTACAATGTGCAAGTTGTAGAAATTATATTACAAGTGTAAATATTACAACTTTATTTCCTCTGTAGTGTAGAACTTTTCAATTAAATATAAAATATCGTTCAATAAAATGTACATTTGTTAACTTTTTATGCGTTATTTTTATTATTATTAATTTCATGGGGGTAAGACAACTTTTTGGAAAAAAAAGTTTAAAGTATTATGACATATTTTGTAAACGACCCACATTCTTTATCAAAGTAGTAAACAACTTTAAAGCTCTTTTCTCTTTAATCCTCCTGAAGATAAAAGGAGGATAAATAATAATAACATAAATAATGTATAAATAATATTATATTATATATAAATGATATAAATAATATATTAATAATAAGTAATTATTAGCAATAATAACATAAGTCCTTTTAAAGGTAATTAAATAGATAAAAAAATGTCTATAAAAACTGTCTTTTATAAAACAATCTTGCATATAACTGTATTAGGCTAATTAGATTTTCGTTTAATTGATCATATTCTGCCACTAAATTTCAAAACCATTTCCCACCATTTCTCGTTAGTGAAACGACATATTCTGTCACATGTTCTCGTTACTGTTTCCATTTGACTGCGCACGCCAGCGCGTTTCTTGGGGGGGCGAGATATATGACATCGTTCTTCAGTGATTACGACAATGTTACGAGCGCGCGGGAAGCTTTGTTCTCTCTTGCGTAACAGAACAGGTGCTTTTGGCTTTGGTTCGTGGCAACAAGTAACGTCAGGTAATTCCATTTCCTCTCATTAACAACTGCGCACGGATACGCAGATCTCGGCCAGAACTTTGCCTGCAGCTCATCAGTACTCAGAACGACGGTAAAAGTCTTGATGTTGTCCAGAAAATGTGCCTTTGAGTATCTCTTGTATTACTTTCTACGGTGTTTTTATTCGCATATTATGATTCATACAGAATATTCACGATTAGTACAGAAACTTCTAATTGTAGCACATGAATCGAGATTATTATTCGTCAAAATTTGTCTGCAATAATGAAAAAAAAACGTATAAAATTTAAATTAGGAAACATTAAATTGAAATAAAATAACACTATATTCATCACGTATTTTATCTTATCTCCCGTACATTCCATTGTTTTGAGTGGCACTGGGCTGACGAATTAGATGATATTTCTGGAGAAAATATAACAAGGTAGTAAGCGTTATTCTGCAGCGCAAATTCGCCGAGGGAGCGCTGCTAGCAAATAATTAGGTACGAGCGGCTAATTACTAACGAGCGATACGCGCTCGTTACAATCGTATAGCGCGATACAATTTTGTTTGATTAATACGAGTCTTGCATAGCTGCATGGGGAGCGCAAGATTATATTCGGGGGCAGTGGAATTGATTGGAGAAACAAAATGATCGCGGTGATGATGTGTAATTCCATACAATTCCGCCGACTATCATTAACGATATTGCGTACGCGACAGGCCGATGCGAACTGATAGAATCTCGTTAAAATTGCATTAAATGAGTGAGCGTAGCCCGACGGAGTACAAATATGTACGTAATTATTTCGGTTTATACAAGATAATAATTCACAACGCAATTAGTTTTACGTGTCCATTTCATTATGGCGCGCTTTGTTATGACAAGGGCCGCGGGTCCTAAGAACATTAAAATAATAGTACATAAATATCAATAATAAATATAAACAAATATAAGATTTAATGTACGCGAAATCTCAATATTTAATGTGCATGCGTATTTAAAATTTTAGCGTTTTTTGTATTATTAAATATTCGTAGTAAAACACATTGTCCTTGAATACAAACATTTTTATTGTTAATTGTTCTTCGAGATAAAATCTATATTTCACATAGAGTCGAATATTCCTATACACACAATTTTCCAGATAAACATTATCTCTAAACATTGGATACAACAATATCGAAAGTTAAATAAGATTAGATGCAACAACATTTAAAGGAACGAAACGAGACAGTTGTATTAGGCGAGTAGCGTTGACTTCAATATCTCACATATACCGTATAAGTTCGTAAGTCGGTGACCGTAAAGAGTAGCGAGGAGACGGTCAAAGGATTAATATCGGTCTTAATTTCGGCTTTGCCAACACAGGATATCGAGTTCTGCAAACATAGCTGCGTTAAGATCCGTCCTACATATAGTCTCTCGATAGCCTCGCGCCGCGTCGCCCCTGGATCGAGGAATACCGGCGGGCAGGGTGTCCGGGGGTGGTCGGGGGTGGTTCTGCCGCATAAAGGGTCGCGGATATTCGACGTCCCGGCAGTAAGCGCCGCGACGTCCGTCGGGGATGCGACGTACGGCGTCCGCGCGCGAAAGCTCGTGTCACGTGGCAACCAAACGGCGTGCAATACCTCTTGGTAGTATTCACAGAGATCGGAGGACAATCGAAGATCTTTATTTATCCTTCGTGCGAAAAGCCGAAACGTTACAGCTGAGACGGGCGCGTTTTTATGGTTTATTAAATTGAAAGGGAAACGTTTGTTCTTTTTGTTTTTGTTCTCGTTCTTCGTTTCTTGAATTCATCCACGCTGCGCTGATTAATCATCTTCTATCTAATAATTGAGTCAATGCGTGATTTAAATACATTTATTTTACGATAATCGTGTACGAGAAATTTGCGAATAGATATGGTGTACGCATAAAGATTACGTGCTGGTTGACATGTGGATACATGACTGTATCTGTAAGAAATAGATACTTGTCAGCGACAATTGCTGACAATAAATGTCAGAGCGAGGTATGTTATAGTAGTAAGTTTGTAAAAGTTTTTTTTTCTTAAAACACTTTGAGAAGTATCCCTCAGAAAAACTAAATTATAAAAAAGTAAGTGTTATTAAAAAAAACTTTTACTCTGCCGTTTATTTATTAAAATATTGTTATGTGGTATTTTAAATAATATCGTTATATCAGTTATTGTTATATCAGTGTTTTAAATAAAATTATGCACATAACATTTTGTTGGGAAATACCTATTTATTTTTCATTACATTTTAAAGTCATTTGCTGCAAACGGAGTTTTGTTTAATGGATTATATAACAAATTTATTTATCTCTTTATTTGAAAGAAAAATCAAGTTATATGGTACAGTTGGTACACGTATTAGTAGAATAATTAAAAATGTTTTTTTTTATACAAACTTGGCGCTTCTTGTCCCCTTTATGCCTTCTTTAATAATTTATTTATGTATCAAACAGATAAAAGGATAGTTATTAAAGTTCTCGAAGTAATGTTACTTTAGCGTGCATTTCTTTTCAACAGCTTTATTGAACATATTCTGCATAATCATGGCAAGGCCTGTTGACATAATTAATCAGGCTGAATGTTCATGTTGTTAAGTACACGTTGTTAAGATCCATAAGTGGAGTTTTGTATAAGTTTGCAATAACAATATCTGTACATGGTTACAATAGCAATAACTACAAGTTAGTTTATAAAAGGAACAGAACTAAGAAGCTGAACAACGCGTCTTTCAAATTGATTCTTTTTAAGATATATCAAGTCTCTAGTAATCTGCGACTTAAAAAAGTGGATAATATAATTTTGAAGAATTTAATATATAATACAATTTGATATTTAAACTATAGTTTCTATATCACAGTCTCTCTTGAAAATCATGATCGAACGATTGCACGACTTTTTCCAGTAGGTATAATTTTCAAGCTTAAAACCGCTATAAGTGCGTTCGTTAAATACTGTTAAATCTCGTTAAATATCGCACGAACTCTAGTATATGTAATGAGTTGTAGCTTGTACAACGTTAACATTGTGTTTTCAAACTACATGCCGTAGCTGGCTAATAAAATTGATAAAAACACGAACAATATTAAACGTAAGCAAACGTGATATAAGCCTCCTACTTGGAATTATCGAAAGATGAGTGATTTTATAATATTTATAACCATACGAGGAAGTTTAGCTTAAACAATAAAGAGCTGAATCCGGCTGATGATTAGTTCGCGAATATATAACATTGTTTACAAGAATCTTTTTGCGAGTTCTAGTCCGTTGTCTCTTGATCCACAGTTCCGAAATATTCTTTACATTGATATAAGAAACTTGTGATATAAGAAAGTGATGACGAACCAGTGGAAATTTATTAATAGCTCGAGTGTCGAGCGAAATTGCGATAAGCTTCTGACATGACGTAGACGATATTATTTCCAGGTCATAAACTGAGCTTTAGACAAATGGCGTGTAAATAGTTCAGTGTCTGCTACCTGAGCCGAACGAGAATGAGTCGCGCGCTATATTAGCGCAGATTGTACAATTAGTCCACTTTTCCATGGCATAATAATCTCGAATAGCATCTCGTTGCGGAACCTGGCGAAATTGTCTTACCTGGTAACAGAAAGCGTGCCGTTTATCGTGCATTCTTCTTGGCTTTCGTACGCGTTAGACTCATTTCTCGGGGAAAAAAACGCGGAATTGCTTTTCAGAAATATTGCGGGGAAACGAAGCGGAAAATTACAGTTGCGAAACATTAAAATCTTATCACGGTATTGTTATAAAAATATTCGAAGGCATTAAAGTTTCCTGCCGAAAGGAAGCTTGATACAATTTGCAATTACAGATAAATGATAAGAAAATACGTTAGATTTTTTAATTTGCTCTTGTTATAAACAAACTTATAATGTTAAATTAAAGATAAAATAGTTGACTCACCTCTTGTTGCGAGTTTCAGAAGTTGAATAAAGTTAAAATCTTGTCCACTCGAGTTTCTGTTTCGCACGTTAATAAAAAAAAATTAATCAATATGTACTTAATATAAAAAATGATCGATAAAAAATTGCAATAAAAAATCCTTTCTCACGCTTTGCTAAAAATATATATGTACAATGAATAATAGTCGCGTGGTTCGTCGTTCCTTAGCAGTTTTCACGTAATTCAGGTACGCGCCGAGTTTTAAGGAGTTGAAGTCAACGTCGAGCGAGGCAAAGTTATCTGATGTACGAGAACGAGCCTCCATATGTCAACGGGAGTAACACCGATATACTCCGCACGTAAACACCGGAAAATAGACGAACTCGTCTCGTCGTTGCTCGTAAATCCTCAGTTGCCGTAGCGGTAAACACGCGCTCCGGTAAATTGGGCATAAATATAATTTAAAGTTAGCCGATCGTCACGTAATTCGATGTTATCGGCGCGAGAAAGTGAGGGCGAGGGTGGCCCGCTTATCTAACAGAATCCGCGACGATTCCGCGTATGACGGCGACGGGACACCTGGAATCCTTCGATTTGGTGGTGATCGGCTTTAAACGCGGAACTTAATTCGCTTTCCAACTTTTTGCCGGCTCCACTCTCGCCTCCTTTCTTCGCGAAAGGCGCACCGGCTCTCCTTCGATTAGTGCTGCATTATTCATGGAGCCGGGCAATTACAATTTCCCCGAGCTCGGTCGTGCGGGGGAGAATTAAAAGCGGTCCGGGTTTCATCGACTCGCCGATTGGTTTGGATCGACGTGTAAATTAATGGCTATGTTACTCAATGGCGCAAAAAAAAAGACGCGAGAGAATGCTCGAATGTTTGCGCATACAGCAGCGCGAATATCATTACGCAGAATTTTAATATACAGAAATTCATTATACCGGGATTACAAAATAATAATTTATTTCATGTGTTCCGCTGTAAGAGTCATATTAAAATTTACACGACTCTGAGGGTTTTAACATTTATTGGAACTTTTATTAATCTCACTCACATTTATTTGAGATTTAAAATTTCGCTCATTAATTTGGATAATATTTTTAGATTATACATGATTTTCCATTAATTTCATAAATTCTCCGTTAAATTCGTAAATATGTTGTAATATTTCGTCCTTTAGTTTTAGATTATCGTACTGACTTATAATTTTTGCATTCTAGATAATCGTTTGGGCTGCATTGTCCGCCATAAAAATTACGCATGAAGAACGTTAGAAAATGGGGCTCCGTAAATCGCTTAACACACATTTATAAAGGAGCCCCTTCTACGCTGTGCGTTGAAGATCGATCCTTTTGTACAACAAGGACAAACGCGCATGCCAAGGGCAATTGCATTACTGAAATAATTACGTCAGAAACAACACCGCAAGAATTCCCATAATGATCAGCGAAACCTATGAGAACGAGACTCGCATCACCAGTCACAGTGCAATGCTAACTTATCCGAAGAAATCCGCTTCTTTTCGTGTCGGAGCACGGCGAAAGTCAAGAGAGCTGTTCAAATTTCGGAAGATATAATATCTCCTTCGACTCTCGAAAATGGCGCAGATCGTGATATAGCATTAGGCGAAAGAGACACGGGGTACATTCTGTTTTATGCGCCCACCGTTCGAATCTGGGATCTTTTTTTGGGACAATCACGGCCCATGTTCGTAAACAGACGCAGCGCTTGGATTGATTTAAGAATGAGACACGTCGCGATATTATGGGACACTTCGGGAACTGTTTAGACGGCTTATCTAAGCGGACGTCGAAGAGGTCTTGCGAGAAGGCGTCGCGGCGCCTCAGATCACTGATCGCCAAGGCCAGAAGGTGGGGCCTGACGACCGAGGAGGTCGCCGAATTACCGGCGATAAAGAGGCTAGTGCCGACCCGTATCACCCCGAGCTCGGCTACATGGACAACCTTGGCTATGATCGCTTTGGTATTGGGCGGCGGAATAGTCCTAGCGTACATCTGCGCGCCTTGTATCACGAGGAGCAGATAGGACCGATGCGGACCTGACGGTGCGACAAACTCGCGAAGAGACCATTGCCGAAAACAGGTAATCGATATTTCCACTTTACTTGCGGATAACAAGGCATTTCAAACAAACGCCTAAACAATAGGATGCGTCAGAATATTTAGAAAATGAAGGGTTAATAAAGAATATAAATTTTTCTAATAGAAATATCTCGAACGTGAAATATTACGATTATAAAATTGCGACTTTTGCTATTTTTTAAACAAAAATACTTAGTTTTAATCTTTCCAGTAAGTAGATACTTCGAAAGCGTAGCTATTTGAAACGATACCAAGGACGAGTGCATATGAAAAATGCGTTACACGTATCAAACATTAAAGTTTTGTTTTCATAAAATGTACATGTTATGTCTGGTAAAAATACAATTAGTATCTTTTCCTATTAAAATCTATTCTTGAAAACAATGGATCAGTTTAGTCGACCTAAACTGGCTATTGTTTAATAAATTCAACAAAAATAAAAATACAATGTGCTTTATTCTTGAAAAATAGATAAATTCTTCTGAATCATGCCAACTATTTATACTTTATTTTACTATTATTATTTTTTTTTGTAAAGAATTCCAGAAAAGATTTATCGTGTGTATTTTGTAAGTAAATTGTATTCATTATGCCATTTCATTAATATAATCCCACAAACTTAATCTTTACAAAAGTTTGTAAAAATAAAGATTAGAAATAAAAATTGCAATAATATGTGCGCATTTATGGCTAACCACTTCTTCTCGCTTCGTGAGTTTTTGTCGTAGATATATTTCTTGGCTAAACAAGTTAGCCGAAACCGGATTCATATTCCAATTCACTTGTGCGTGTAACTGCTAACTAAATATATACGCCATTATCGTTGATACACATTTTATTGGCTAATTCAGTCAAACGAGTCTGAAATATAAACAGCTAAAATAGATCTCTATGAACAAATACAAATATATTGCAAAAATATTATACCTACAGAGATTATTGAAAGATTGGAGTACATTCCCCAATGGCATTTAATAGTTGACCTTCGGGACACGTCTTCCAAGGAACTTGTATGACATTTGATTCGGAATCTGCTATTGTGATAAAGGTCGACATCACTAAAACAGTAACTATCAAGTATGCAGTGAAGATACCGCAGCTATTTTTCATAAGTTCGCAAAGCATTTCGCTCAAAACCAAAAGCAGAAATCAAATCGAGAGCACTCAAATATCAGAGTAAGACACCGAAACTAAACATGTTGCGCCGTGCACGGGGATTTTATATCGTTTTTTCGCTCATAAATGACACATGCCAATCACAAACGTACGTAACACACGTGCACATGTATAGTAAAAGCTATCAAATCTTTACATAAAAGTATTATATGTATGTTTACTCTTTCGAAGTAGATATATATTTTTCTTTTTAGCGCCTCTCGGGAAAAAAATAATAAATTTTTAATGTCCTATTTGAATCCTTTATGTATTATTTTTATTATTAAAAACATTCAAATCAAATATGTAGTGTACATGGCTATTTTTAATGCCTAGAAAAATAACATTTATAGCTCACACAAAACACAACATACGAGAAACCTTGTAAATACTCAGACAGTACGCATGTCTACACATAAAGACATTTTTTAGGCATGCTTGTATAATACATCTGATATAGAATAATTACACGAAAATGCCTTTTAATTTTGTAAGCAATTATAAATCATACGTGTCATGGGATGAATTTCACTTCTTGATATGGTATTATAATTAGATTGAATCATCTTATGGATAGCTCAAACAATTAGATATAGAAATACAATAAATAGATTAGCAAAAACTAACAAAGCCACTTATATGTATATTAAAATTAGCATAAAAACAGGATAATATCTCAATATATAGATTATAGATTATAACAAACATGAGGTGTATATAATTATAAGATATATAATGAATCACATTATATGTTTTAAACATTATTAATTGTTTATTATTAATAGATATTGTAATGGCAAATTTTTTAATGTACGTGTTAAACGTAAATATATAATATCTCAATCTGAAACTTAGTACGCATAATTAAATTAACAACCATTTTAATAATAATGATTCTGAGGTCTATATCAGACTACACATTAAAGAGTAAGGATCGCGAATTGGAGATTAAAATTTGACCAATCGGATAAGTTTAATTTTAATCCGTTTCGTTTTGATCGATTGAATTCGAATGTCCAATTCGTAATCCTCAATCCCCAATGCATAGTCTGACACTTCCTATAAAATGCTCTTTAACAAATATAAAAAAGAAAAGTATTAAGAAATGTCAGGTATAAAATAAATTGTCTATATTCTTTCCATATAATTTTAACAGTTTTTAATAATTTGACAGCTTCTGACAGTTTAATCTTCTTGAAGATAAAAATCGCCAAGAAAAATAAACATATTCTCTTTTATTCAAACAATGGCTAATACGAGTTAATATATATAATAATATTATGTACATATATGTATATTTATAATAGTTTATTTCTCATTGTTTCTTGACAGACTTGATTACAAGAATATACTTATAATTGTTGTTTAGATGAACATATAAAGTGCAACAGAACTTTCAGATGTCCGCATAACTGCAAGTCAAAAATTAATAATTAACATAATTAAATAATAATACACTGATAAAAATATTACTTTACTCCAGAAAATTATTCATTAGGTGGCTTCTAATAGCTTGTTAACTTAAATAAAAAAGATAAACAAATTAAAACATGCATTTCTTTAATTTAAGTATTTATTAAATATCAAACAGTAGATAATTTTAAATTTAAAAAATTTTACTTTAATTCTAAAAATTTTACTTTAATAATAAAATGTTTACTAATATATAAGTTTTACAGCGATGAAAATTGGATTTTTTATTTGACAAAAACAATGATTTTGTAAAATAAATAGTATTCTCTATCTCATAAAATCTTTAGTTGAATGTAGAAAACGTAATGATTTAAATTTATTTACTTCATATAATATACAGATTTACTTGAAATTTTATATTTTTATTTAAATAGAATAAATATTTACTTCAGTAAAAAAATAATTTTAAGTGAATCTTTTTACTTAGTTAAAAAAAATGTTTTGTCAGTGTAGTAATTGCTATCATATAATTGCATTTCTTATTGTGTAATTTTATAGTTAATTGTTCATAGCAATCAAATAAAGGTGTAAATATTTTGAGAACTTATTGTAAATAAATTGTACCTGTCCTTAATCGATGATTAGGCGACAGACACCAGTAGCCGTATCCTTTATCCTACCGCTAGGACAAGGTAGCGGATCCATCAAGCTTGACTCAGCAATCGCTATTGTGATAAAAGTAGATATTAATAAGAACGTCATGAGCAGATGTAAAATGCCAAATTTGTTCCAACGAATATTTTCCATTTTTCCAAAAATACGTTCTAGTGATGGAAACAGCAACGAAATTTAAAGTTAAAGAAAGAAAAACTTTTAATTAACTTTAGAGAGAAGAGAGAATTATCACGCTCTTCACAGTACAACTTGTTTATATATGTGGCATTCTACGCAATGATTTCCTTTTATACTTTTACAGTCATAGATAATACCAAGGATAAATGTATGCGACGAACGCATATTATAAAAATTATATTGCAAGTAATATTATAGTTATCTTTTGCTGCACGTGCATACATACTATATCTTTTTACTAAATATAAAATATATGGACTATTTTATTGATATTTATTATCGTTCTTCCTTGCTCCATTATCTCTTTATCTTTCTCTCCTTTTTTCTCTCGTTTACTTGTTTTAAAATCTATAATCTTTTTAACGCCTTAATGTAAGTTTTATGAGTTTTTCTACTTTATCATTTCTTAATAAAAATATTATTTATTAGTAAAAATATTAAAACAAATTTAAATGTCATCATACATTTTGTGTAAGTTACGTTTTTCATATCACTTTATTAATCTTGTGATTTAATACTTTCTTAATCTTGCTAAAGATAACAGTAGAGAAAAGAAAAATTAATTTGTTTCTTTTTTTATGTATTTCAGTGAACGAATATAAATAAAATTTGAATTGCTGCACAAAAAGTAATTTTTTTATGGGAAAGTGATAAATTAATTTGTTTTTTTTATATTCAAATATAAATACAAATACAATTTTTTTGTAACTAGTAAACGAGTAAATTAATAGGTATTTAAAAATCGCGTATAAATATTGAAAACTTTATACCTTTTTCTCACTTCATCAATTTGACTGGTTTGGGTTTTGGTTCAATGATTGATGACCATCGTGATAAAAGTTGATGTCAATGAAAAACTTAGCATCAAATATATGTATAGCAAGTGTGAGTATGAGTATTCTTAACGTTTAAAGTTTTAAAAATTGAAGTTAAAGAATTAGAAAAATTAAAGAATAAAGTTAAAAATTGTTTAACAATTTATAATACTTATTTATATTTCTTTGCATTATTTCTCAAATATGAACTGCAACTGCATTAAATAACAATTTTTATTTAATAACTAACCTCACAGAAATCAACGTAACATTGAAATGTCTTCCAATAATAAACCGCATATACGTATGTGTGTTATACGTATGTGTTTTATGTATTTTATCAAGTTATTGCATAATTTTATTATTTGAGAAAATAACAGTCGTGATATTGGAGTTTTGATAATCAGAAAAGATTATAGGTGGAAAAGTAACACATCTGTAATAAAAGTTTTCTGGCTGATAAGACACTGTCACGGCGTTTATTTATATTTCCTTATTACAATATGCTCTCGTAATCGTTTCTTTATTTTCCAAATCTAAACTGTAACCGCATTATTATCCATTTTTGTGTAACTGTAAGTTAAAAGGTGATGTTAATACATTCGATGCTCGACTATAACATTATTATGTTTTGTTAACCGAAAGTTAATAATTAATTTACCATAGTACTAATTATAATACTAAAATGTTTTACCAGGATAAATATTACTAGTTCAGTAATAATAATATTGGTTCAATAATTTAACAAATTAAATTAAAATAAAAAATTTTTCAAAAACTTATAAAAGTTTATTATTAAATATAGATTATATTACACTTTCCACAATTGTCAAAGTTAGTGTATGTTTATTTGATATATCATTGATCTAATTGATTAAATAACACTTAGTCATGTTATTGAAAGGTGCGTTAATAAATTCAAAAAGATCAGAGTTAGAAAAAGGACATGTAAAAAGTATTTATCAAAATATATATTAAATGAACTGTACCTCTTGTCCTTCACCCCATACGGGGTATGCGATATTTTCCAAGTGCAAGTTTTTTCTAACCACGCTGAGACTTAGCACGAGGCGTCGTACATATCGGAAGCTTTATAACGTAGCCTTCTGATTCAGTAGCTACCATCGTGATAACAGTTGATATTAATAAAACAGTGATCATTAAAAATATAGAAAATGCGCTGGTATGACACCTTTTTATGTTTCTTGCAGAGAATAATCGCAGTTGCTAAATAATTTTCAACTTGTCGTATTTTGCGTGAAAGCTCTTTTATATTATTACAGTCATAAACACTTTTAGTGAACAATAAACGTGTCTGACAAAAATCACGATTCTCTATAAAACAGGAATAAAATGTGAAATATTTTTTACATAATTTTTATTACACACAATATACCTTTATACATATATATATATGCATAAAAAATATATACATAAAATTGTGTCTTTTTGTAGGACTAAACCAAAACAATTATTTTTTAAAAGAAAGTTAATTTAAAAAATTATATAACATGAAGAAATTGTAAATAAGTCTTTAAATATTATCGCTATACATATATGTATATTTTGTATATCGTTTACACTGTTTTATATCATTTGATTAATCCTGAGTTACTTACTATAAATTAACAGTTTTTTTAATAATTCTCAAGAAATGGAGGGAGGAAGTGGTAAAGAACTTGTCCTGTCATTATGCGTGGATCATTTAAAATGAGACATCTTGTATAATGTTATTTATAATTCTCTCCATTATTCCTGAAAATTTACTGCATTAGTAACTGTCAGATTCTTCTGTATTTGCAAGTGCTAAAATTTAATGTTAATATTGTTAACAATTATGGTCAAGTTATTACATGTAAGAATTTTTATTTTTTGTAATTTAATCATTAAACTATCGCAGAAATTAACAAATAATGTTTTAAAATAATAAATCTCTATAGAAGTGTATATTTTATATGCATATA